CGGGGGTGTGTGTGTGTGTGTGAAGTCAAGAATGCCTGAGCCCAATTCCGAGAGCCGTTACCGGGGCCACTTCCCAGGCTCAGCAGGGCACTAGTGTCCCGTCCCCTCTCCCCAGCGCATCTCTGCAGCACAAGGAGTTTGCTCTGTGGGTCTGTTTCTAACCCCGAGGGTTTATTCCCTGTCCAAGCGCCGGGTACAGGGTGAGCCTGGCCTCATGCTCTGCGGGAGCAGGCGAGGGTCACGTCTCATCACAGCCTCGCTGACAGCCTCGATACACTCCCAAAGATGGCAGCAGGCCCGGTGCAGCACCAGGCCTGGAACGAGCATTTGTGTTTGTGAGGGGGGGGGGTCTCAGCAGGTGGGGGCCAGGGGAGAGCTCACCCTGGCAGGTGTTTTCACTTGCATCCTTGAAGATGGCTCTCCTAGAGCTGGGCTCGTAGCCATGGATGCAGTGGCAGTAGTAACTCCCAGCCACATTGGTGCAGTTTGCGTTGTGTCCGCAGTCTGGCTGGCTCGGCCCCAGACACTCGTTAATATCTGTAATGCAAGAGGGGACGCTCTGTACAGTCCTGGCAGAGAGATGTTCCCTGTATCACCCCCCCAGACCCCTGTACTGAGCTGGGTGACGGGACCCAGGTGACTGGGGCCCTGAGCAGTTCCTGATTAAGGGCCTGATTCTCAGTTACCCATTTCTGCTGCTGGAATGTTGTGAACAGCCCCCCCGAGCCTCCTGTCCCAGGTACGGGGGGTTCGGCCCCACAAACACCCAGATCCCCCATGTATGGGGGGTGGGTTGGGAGACGTCCCCTTGGGGCTCCAGGCTCCTGTGTGTTGGGGGGGATGTCAAGTTGCCTTGCCTCTGCCCCCTCCCTCCTTGGATCCCTGTGGGTTGGAGGGGGGAAGTATAGCCAGGGCTGCCCCAATCTGCTCCTCTGGGCAGGGATCCGTGGGGCCCGTCTGCCCCAGGACACCCAGTGGCTGACTAGGGCCCAGGCTGGGATTCAGACCGGTCAGTGTGATGGGCCCCCCCCACCCTGTGCCCCATTCACAGAG